TTAGCTGGATGTCCTTGGACACGTCACTTAAAGCTGTGGTCTTATATCTGTATCAGACTAGAGGGGTGATTTTAGTATTAATTCGTAAGAGTTCTGGAAGATTAATGTGGCCATGAACATAAATTTTCTAGCACATAGTGGTTAATACATAATACATACTAAATTTTTAAATTTTTTATTGTTATTATAAAGAAGGTCCAATAGATTTTTTTAAGCTAGTAATTGAAATTTGTCATCAGGATGTGGGAGATGGAAAAGTATGATTTAAATATTTATATTCTGAGCATTTGGGAGCGCCGAGCTGAGTTAGACGCCCCCCCCCCCAGTGATGATAACTAGCACTGATGTGGGGCAGACATGCAGACACACACAGCACAGAGGAAGAGAGCTCCACACACGAGCAAGCATTGTGGGGGCACATTTGTGGGGTACATTCTAGTAAATGATGAGGGAACACTGTTGGGCAGGAGCTGCAGGAAACATTTCAACCATGTTTCTTCAGGAGGTTGTGCAGTTGGGTGACCCTGGGCAGCATAGCTGATAGCCATGGAAAACAGAAGCGAAACTTGGAAAGGAATAGGGCTGTCACACAGGAAATGTAAAAGCTTAGAAGTATGACATCTATCAAGCTTCTTGGAAGGACTATATAATTTGATTGGACATTTAGTTATATTTTCTACCACTCTTAGAAATTACACTTCTCTCTCTTCTAAATTTCCCACCTCTACTCAAGTACATTGTTCCCAAGATCTTATAAAATTACTAATTCTAATTTTTCAAGTATGAAGAAAACCTTCTACTAAATAATTATTAAATAATCAGATGTTTAATTTAATTCAAGGTAACTTATTTTAGTTCCCTTCTGCTTAATATAGTAATAAATACAATCACAGTAATCACTGATAACACAGAGGGCAGGATTTCAATTGTGCAATAATTTCTGATGTGACAACCTGGTTGTTTCTTTAGACTCAATATACACAAATTACAATTGAACTCATCATTTACTGATGTAAAACTAATTTAATTTCATTGAGAGGTAAGGACAAACTTGAGTTGGCCCTAGGGTTTTTATCTTAGTACCAGGAGTTTTTATCATAGTAGCAAGTAAGAATTCAGAAATGTTATTCATCAGCTAAAAGAAATGTCTTACTTCTGAGTGTCTGGTGCTCAGAGGAGAGTGCTAAACCAGATCCTCTGCTACAGAAGCGCTCACCACCACAAGCCCTCTTAAAGCCCATTTGTGGATTCTTCCAACATGCTTCAAGAAGTTCTGGAGGGCCTCACATCTAAAATAAACTTAGAGCTCAAAAAATTAAATCCCTTAAAAATAAGCACTTAAATAACAATCCAACTAATAAATGGGCTAAAGACTTAAGAGACTTTTCAGAAGAAGAAGTAACAATGGCCAATGGACATATGAAGAGATATTCAACATCACTGGCCATAAAAGATAGGCAAATCAGAATAGCATGACCATTATCAAGAAAATGAACAATAACAGATGCTGGTGGGATGTGGCCCAAAGGAAACTCTACTACTCTGTTGGTGGGAATGTAAACTGGTTCAACCACTGTGGAAAGCAGTATGGAAGTTCCTCAAAAGACCAAACATAGAGCTCCCCTCTGACCAGCAATGCCACTCCTGGGCATTTATCCAATGGATCATAAACCAGGCCACACTAAAGCTATCAGCACAACCATGTTCATTGCAATATTGTTTCCATAGTCAAGACATGTAATCAACTCATATGTCCCTCAGTAGATGAGTAAATCAAGAAAATGTGGCATATATATATATATATATATATACATATGGGGGGAGAGAGAATAGAATTCTGTGCTTCTATCAGAAAGAATGACATTGCCCCATTCATAAGGAAATGGAAAGACTTGGAAAAATTATATTAAGCAAAATAAGCCAGACCCCAAGAAATATAGGTTGCATGGTTTCCTTCATTTGTGATAGGTAGAATGTGACTAAAAGTCTACAAGTAAACCTACTGGATGGTAAAGACAAAAACATACACTTGGACATGATAAATTAAACAGCACTCTAGACATTCACACAGTGGGACCAAAGGAGGATGTTCTTAGGAGAGGATCACAAAGGCTCAATAGCTATGTGCATATCATCATATAAAATGTTTATCAAAATAAGCTCCAGGAAATGGAAACAAGATTATTTTGTTTTTGTTTTCTCCCTTGTCACAGTTTTTTTTTCTGTACTTTTGTCTTGCATGTAAGTTTATCTGTTTGGGGGAGGGGGAGGGGGAGCATTAACAAATGCAGCAGTGGTACTCACTGGACACTATGTTGAAAATGAACTGTACAACTTGTGTGTGGAGAGGGTGGTCAGGAGGGAAAAACTGGGAGAAAATGAGGGAGGGTTGACTCTGTTCAGAAAGAAATATGCTCATTACCTGACTTGCCTAACTGCAACCCTTCTATACAACAAATTGACTTTAATGTTCAGCTAATGCTTACTGAAGGAGTTCTCTAGACTCTCACCCATTCGTATTCATAGTAACAACGAAGATCCAGACACAATTTAGAAGAAAATCCTTCCCCGTAATTTCATTAAACATTGAGCTTAATCTTTTGAATGTTACACTTTTCTTAAGCATTTTCTACCTTTGTGGACTTGGCATTTGTTGCCATTATGACACTAATAACAAGGGTTATCCTTAACATTATTTATATTAATTCTTCTAAGTATTGAAGCCACCCTACCAAGTCTTACCATTTTTCCTGAAGATAAAGACATAGGTGAATTATTTCAAGTAGACTTCTACTGATAAAAACATCTCATTGTCAGTTAAATTCTGATTATACTATGTATTTCACTTTCTTCATTCCACTTACCTCTTTCATAACTAGAAGAGACTATAGCAACTTGAAAGAGAGAGAGAGCGCAAAGCCTACAGATTTCCTTTTGTTTTTACATGCAAAGAATTAAAATTTCTAAGACATATCATTTAGGAATGTCATCTTTCTTAGTAAGCTGCTTGGTCAATTAAGAGGTTTTTCAGGAAAGTTACCAGAAGCAGAAGGTCCGGACCTGGCCTCCCAGAGCGGCAGGAGAGGGTCGGACCTGGCTTCCAGATCAGTGCATGCACAGCCTGCTTTATAGGCTCACGGCTTTTCCCTTGGCCATTAGGAAAAACACAAACCTTTTTAGGGGATGTGCCACACTTCAGAAAAGTGTAACACACAAAAGGTTAAGCTCCATGTTTAATGAAATTATGGGGAAGGATTTTCTTCTAAGGCTTTGATCTTACAAAAAAAAGAAAACTTAGCACATCAATGAACAGTCTGTGGAGAAAATAAAGGAAATAGTAATTGACTAGTAGAGACTCTCAGCTCTTATCACTGAATCTTCTTATTGTGTAGATATAATACAGGAGTTATAATGAGCAGAGACAATGTTTATTATTATTACCATCATCTTATTTTAAATATATATTTATAATATTATAGTTTTGTTGTGAACAAAAATGACTCTCGATTTAGTCTAAAAATTCATTTAAGAGATGTGTCACATTTGTTTCTTGACAACCAGGCTTTCTAGGTGATTTTTTTTGGAGGGGGGTGTTGAACTCAGGGCCTGAGCTCAGTTTCTGAGCTTTTTTGCTCAAGGCTTGTGCTCTACCAGTTGATCTACACCTCCATTTCTGGATTTTTTAGTGGTTAATTGGAGATACAAGTTTCACAAACTTTCCTGTCCAGGCTGGCTATTTTGAAGTGTGAACCTCAGCTGTCAGCCTCCTGAGGAGCTGTGATTAGAGGTGTGAGCCACAGGCTCCTGGCTCAAGCTTTCTAGGTTTTAACTGAGCGATGGCAATCACATTTTTTGTCCTCAGCACTCTACCTTAAAACACACTGAACAAGCTTTTGAAATCTTAGTGACATTCTTCTCCCAGAAAGCCAGTATCCTGATATAATTTTGGAATTGTAGAAGCCTTCTCTGATGAGGAAATTCTTTGAGGTACACTGAAAGAACAGTAGTTTATAGGGCTGGGAAGGTAGCTCAGTGGCAGAGTGCTTGCCTCACATGCATGAGGCCCTGGGTTCGATTCCTCAGCACCACATAAGCAGAAAAAGCTGCAAGTGGAGCTGTGGCTCAAGTGGTAGAGTGCTAACCTTGAGCTGAAGAGCTGAGGGACAGCGCCCAGGCCTAGAGTTCAAGACCCACAACTGACAAAAATAAATAAAAAATTAGGTTATACACAAATTTTGTATCATGTAAATTAGTAATCTACTTATTGTTAAATTGTAGAAATACATTGATAACTAGAGTGAAAAGAATACTTAAGAGTTGTATAGCAGTAGTTAAGTGAGTTAAGTGTTGATTTAATGAGTCAGAATAAAAATACTTTGAATTCAATCATTAGAACTTCATGTTACCATGCAACATAAAGTGTATCTAAGACAAGAATTATTTCTTCCTTAATTTAAACATCTTTTGGTTTATATAAACCCACAATTTATCCATTGGATCTACTTATTTCCTTAGGAAATACCTATTACTTCCTAGTGAAGTCTATTATTATTATAAAGATGGCGATAAAATTAAGTCACACATGTTTGTATATTTATGGAGAGATTAAAAAACAAAAGTAAGTGTATTCATTGATAGTAACTACAAGTTAGGTACACAAATTAGAAAAGTATAGCACTTATTTATGATGAACAAAATTGCTGCAACTTGAAATAATTTGATTTAAAATTGGCTTGTCTGCAGATTTCCCAGTGTTCTGCATGCATTCATAAAAGTGTGTGAGCTGTCCTGTGTTACTAGAGATCATAAATATGTGTGAGCTGTCTTGTGTTACTAGTGATCATAAATGTGTATGAGCTGTCCTGTGTTACTAGAGATCATAAATGTGTGTGAGCTGTCTTGTGTTACTGGTGATCATAAACGTGTGTGAGCTGTCCTGTGTTACTAGGGATCACAGTGGTCCTGATGTGTGGCATCGTCCATGTTCTTGTCATCAACGTCTATGGTGATGTCTCCCTAGAACCTACAACCTGTCTACCTAGCCTTCTTATTGCCAGCTTCATGTCCTTATTCCTTAAAGTGTAGATGGTCGGGTTTAAAACAGGGGTGACAACAAAGTCCACAATAGCAAAAAATGTGTCTAGTGACTGTGTAGGGAAAGGCCACACATAGAGAAACATGCACGGAGTGAAGAACATGACGACCACAGTGATGTGGGCGGACAGGGTGACGCATGCTTTGGACAAAGCGCTGGAGGAGTGCTGCCGGACAGTGACCAGGATGAAGGCGTACGATACCATTAAGGAGAAGAAGGTGCCCATCGATATGAAGCCGCTGTTGGCAGTCACCACAAATTCTAGTCGGTAAGTGTCTGTGCAAGCAAGTTTAATGACTCTAGGAAAATCACAGTAAAAACTCCCCACATTGTTGGGGCCACAGAAAGGTAAGTTTATGACAAATATGAACTGAGACACAGCATGAATCACACCAGTGGCCCAGGCCGCTGCCACCAACAGCACACATGTTCTGGAGCTCATAACAGTCAGGTAGTGGAGAGGTCTGCAGATGGCTGTGTACCTGTCGTAGGCCATGGCTATGAGCAGCACCATCTCCACCCCTCCCATGACGTGGATGAAGAACATCTGTGCCATGCAGCTGTGGAAGGAGATGAGTGTGCGGGCAGTGAGAAGGTCGGAGAGTGCCCTGGGGACCGTGGTGGACGCGAGGCCCAGGTCGACCAGGGAAAGGTTGGCCAGCAGAATGTACATGGGGGAGTGCAAGGGAGGGTCCACAATCACTGCAAATACAATGAAGAGGTTTCCCAGAAGAGCCCCCACATAAAACAAAGAGAAGAAGAGGAACAGGAAAAGCTGCATGCCCAGCGACCGTGCCAATCCCAGCAGCACAAATTCAGATACCACAGAGTCGTTTACGTGCTCCATTAAGTCAGTCAGAGTGGAAGATACTGAAAAGACCTGAAAGACAGGAAGACACCACATGGAGTCACCGAAAATAATGTGCTAAGTGATTCAAAATCAAGTGCTGAACTGAGGTGTAGCTCAGTGGATTTGCCTAGTGTGCACGAGGCCTGGGCTCTTTGTCCAAGAACATAAAATACATAAGCAATAAGTAAAAATAAAATTGTTTCCCAACAAATCTTTTATTTAGTTGCTAGGGATTATTTATAATGTAGTAGGATACCAGGGTAGGAAAGGTTCAGGCAGAATGAACAGGGCTGCATTCAGAAGTGATCTATTGTATTAAAGGCTTTCATTTGCTCAGCTGCCCAAAGGTATAAGGCAATGTAAGAAGTTAGAAAAGAACACATAAAAATCAAAGTTAGGGCCTGGAAAGTTGACTCAGTGGTGGAGTGCTTGCCTTGCATGCCTGAGGCCCTGGGTTCAATTCCTCAGCACCACATAAGCAAAAAGAAAAAAGCCGGAAGTGGCGCTATGGCTCAAGTGGTAGAGCACTGGCCTAGGACCCTGGGCTGATCTCCAGCTGACAAAAACAAACACAAGCAGAGAACCTGATGAATTTGAGTGAAAGTCCGTGAGACTCTGATCTCCAGTGAACCACCTGAAAAGTGGCGCTGTGGCTCAAGTGGTAGAGCGCTAGCCTTGAGCTGAAGAGCTGAGGGACAGCGCCCAGGCCCAGAGTTCAGGCCCCACGACCGATTTAAAAAAAAAGCAGCAAAACAAAGTTATTCAGGAGAAAGAAAAGAAAAAAGTTGAAACACTTATGAATGAATATGGTGCCCTAGAGAACTGGAAGATTGTTCATAAACACATAAACAACTTCACCTCCCCCGCCCCCTCCCTCCTCCTCCTCTTCCTCTTTCAACTCCTTCTCCTTCTCTTCATTCTCCTCCTCCCCTTCCTCTTTCTCCTCCTCCTCTTCCTCCTCCACTTTCTTCTTCTCTTTCTCCTCCTCTTCCTTCTAATATTCTTCCTCCTTCACCTTCTACTTCTCTTTCTCTTCCTCCTCCTTGTCCTCCTTCCCCATCTCCCCCTCCTCCTCCTCCATATGATGATGATGATTTGAACACAGGGCCTTGCATTTATCAAGCAAGGCATGGGATCCATGCCACAGACCTGTATTTGCTTAGACATTTTTTTTTTCAGAGCATGTCAAATTCTTCCTTGGGACTGACCTTGGATGATGTTCCTCCAGCTGGAATCACAGAGTGAACCACAAGGTCTGGCTTTATGGTTAAGATGGGGTCTTGGTAACTTTTTGTCTGGGCTGCTTCAAACTCTGAGCCTCCCAATTCCAACTTTCTGAGCAGCTGGAATTATATGCATGTTCTACCATACCCGGTCTATGTGGTTTGCAAAACCTGAAAAGTATAGAACCTTTAAAATGCAATCAAGAATAATAAAAGTAAATAAAGTTTTGTATTAGAGCATAAACACAAAATAATAGTTTAGACATCTCTGAAAGCTCATTAGGTGCAAGGCAGGGGATTTGGCTCAGTTGTGGAACACTAGCCTAGTGTATGTGAGGACTTGGCTGTGATTTCTAGCACTTCCAAAACTGTTACCTAAAATATATGTTCCCTAAACTAACACATGTCATCTTGTACTTAAATCAGAATGCCACAGAAAGAAAAAAGCTTGACATTTTCACAATACAAAAATATATTAAAGATTTCCAGATCTCAAACACCAAACAGATAAATGAACAAATGATATAAAGAAAACTGAGAAAGGTAAGATGTGTATGTATGATGTATGTATCTACGTACATGTATTTATACATGTAAGCTTACCTTAGAAATAGAAGAAATAGTCAAATGTAATGCCATTACTTTTCTATTAAGTATTAATGCTACTACTAAGAACAACAATAATAATAAATGGCAAAGATTCAGTGAATAAGATATTTATATACTCCTGGAAGAAAGAAAAACTGACTTTAAACCATATGTCCCTCCCCCCACGGTATAACCCCTGTTCTCACTGTATTTGATGTTGGTATAATTTGTGGAGGGGAAGGGAAAAAGCAAATTGTTTAAGTAGGGATACAGTCTGACCCATTGCAACAATGAGATGTACAAGATGCTATGTCGAAAACGAACTTTACAACTTTGGCCAGAGAGGAGGGGGAGATGGGAAGGGGAAACAAAGGAGGAGGCAACAATGCTTGATAAGAAATGTAATCATTACCTTGCTCATGTAATTGTTACCCCTCTGTATGGTATTTTCACAATTAAAAAAAAGGAAATAATCAGAAAAAGAATTCTAAGGAAGGGTTGCTCAAGTTCAGTGACTGAGGTTGCAATAAGAGAGGCAACGAACGGAAGTGATGAAGTGCAGTGGGGTGAGGAGAGGTGGCCTTCAGCAAGACTGTGGAGACAAACTGGTTTGATTCTTTTCCATTTTCTACAAAATGCGATTGTTTAGCCACTTCTCAAATGATTCATCCATAATTTCCTACCCCTTTCCAATCAATGTTCTCATAGGTGCTCATCTTAGCATTGTCTCAGTATATTATATATACACCTGACCATTTATTTGCTTTCTAGAGTATTTTTTATCGTAAGGATACTGTACAGAGGGGTAACAGTTACATGATAAGGTAATGAGTACACTTCCTATCACACTGTTACCTCCTCCTTTGTTTTCCCCCTACTATTTCTTCCCTCCCCACTTCCCCAACTACTCCCTCCCCCCCAAAGTTGTAAAGTTCATTTTCATCAGTGTCCTGTACATCTCATTCTTACAATGGGTCAACCTGTATCCTTGTTTCAGCATTTGTTATTTTACTTTACCATTTATACCTTTCTTTACCATTTTAATTAATCCCTGCTACCATTCCTGAGCTGCTCACCCATGTTTAGATCATCCAGGGCACCAACCCTAACCCTAAGGATTTGGGGACATGACTGAACAAAGCATTATAAAATGAGATGACCCTGGAAGGCTTCCTGGCAATGCTCGCTGCTGTGCTACTGCTGCTCATACTGTTGAACTAGTGTTTGTCTTGGAGTGTTAGCTGGTAAGATTTTTAGAGAGCGATCTAAACTACATAAACCCACTAATCGCAAAACTAAAGAATTCAATTTGATCTTTAGTTATTCTAAAATGTGACAATCACAAAACAAAATATGGAACTATGACTATAATACATGCCAATGGCAAGATACAATAAAAGATATATAAGAGGATCTATGGAGAAGAATGGTAATGGGTTGAAGATGACTAGAGAACAAGATTGGTGAGGGAGAAGGAACGAGAAAGAACTCTACAGGAGAGACTGGAGGATAAGACACAGATACCAGAATGTCTGTCACGGTTCAAGCCAGCACGTATCAATGCATTATGAACGCCGGAGAGGGGAATTCCTAGCACCTTTGTACACTGCTTGTGTGTATTTTCAGTGGAAAGTTCAGAAGTAATGACTAGCTTAGGGAAAGTACTCATGGACACGAGGAAAAGTTGAGTTTCAGCATATGAGTGCGTGGATGTGACAGTCAAGCATATTGGAGTGGAGTAAGAGTTGGAAATATTCTGGGCTGTTTCAGTGAACGGACAGGGGAGTCATCTTCTAGGGCACTAGGAAGTAAGAGCTCAAATGGACTTTTATGCTCCAGGAAGTGCTTTACTTACCCTGGTTCTACTATTCGTACACACTACGGGGACTTGAGGGGTCAGGAGGCATTCCTGGCTTTGTCTAGTCATATTACCTAGCTAAGTCAGTGTCAGGAACATAACAAAAGCTAAAGAAATGTTAGATAATATGTTTCTAAAAATTAGTTCACGCTGTCAATGTGAAACCTGAAATCACAGCCCTTACAAATTGTAGGGAAATTGCATTGAATAACTTTTCCTTCTAAACTTTTACTTTCTGGTTATAAAAAAAGTGAATATTTAACTAAGTCTAGTTGTCTGTGAGAGCCAGTTTGGAAAAGTGACTTTGTACTTGACTATGCACCTCCTTAGGAAACACTGATGGCTGCGGAAGCTCCTAGAAATCAGTCAGGAGCAAGCCCCATTCAGGGTTCGTCATCCTTCTTAGTGTGATGTAAACCTTGACATTCATTAGGAGATACATTTTCAAGTGAGAAACGCAAACACATTAAACAGAATATATTGCCAGAGTCATGGCTTTGTATACAAGTGGGAATGGAGTTTGAACCACTCATTCAATCACTTGTTCTATAGGCTAACAACTTGGGGTGTTTGAGTAGCCAGTGTTCACAGAAATCACAAAACCAAAGCCACATGCCCAGTGTTCTGCATTCCAGCTCACGGTCTTCCTCCGTGAGCTTCACACTCAGCAGGGCATTATGAACAAACTAGAGTTGTTTATATATGACAGGGTCTCCTTTACCTACTAGAAGGATACTCTTCTTCAGTGAGTTCTTATTTTGTTTAATATAAAATTAGCCTCCTCTGGTGATGTATTTATTATCTTTAATTAGTTGTATAAAAGGGCTTCAACGTATCAGTTTATGAGTAAAACATACCTTGATCGATGTCACCCCCATCATTCCCTTAGCCTTCTCTTTTTAAGTGAATATTTCTCCTTTTTCTGTTGGTATCACTCATTCTGATTTTCCTTGCTATTTCTTCAGTCGCTGAACATTTTAGATCTAAGACCCACCACCTTGTCTGAACTGTCTCTGGCCATGGGCCAGAATACTTCTGAATTTGACCTTCGTCACTCAGCTAAGAAGGCTAGAGCCTTCAAAGACAACCATGCCAGAGCCACACCAGAATATCGGAGTCCAAGCTTGAGGTGTCCCTTTGGTTTTAAACAAGAATCTGGTATTCAGGTAGGTGGGAAGTAGCTTAGATCAGATGTCTGCCTTGCACAGTTGGAGCTGAAGTTTATAATGCAGAGTACAGAAAGTAGAGACCTTATTCAGAGTAGGTAAAGAAATTGGAAAAGATCAGGTGGGTTTGTGCATGGGATGTGTGTTATAAAACAATACATC